ATAGCTCTTTGAATTTACTTATTTTTATGAATTATGGAAATAATACCGACAAATTTTGTATTTCATGTAATATGAGAGCCCAATTACTTCGATATTTGTGAGAACTAATTATTGAAATTATCCCTTATTAATTATCATCATTATATGTGTAACAATGCTAGCAATAGTAAATAAGTAAACTAATACTTTTTGTTAGGTAATAAAAATTAATCAGTTGCGCAAGTATTCCAAACAAACTGTTTCAATTCATATGTATACAGAATGTACCAAATATAGATAATGCCATCATACTTAATTTTGTAATTGACTTCATGAGTAAACTTCAGCGTACAAATAATTGGTATTACCTGGCAGTTATGATTTGAAAAAAAAATCTTCACTATAAAATTTATCATACCTCGTACTGTATGTCCTTGCAGAGTAGTACTGTATGAGGTTTGCATTGTAGTTTGCGTAGTAGTGTATGACGTCTGCTTTGTAGTACTTTCTGTAGTTTGCGTCACCGGACTCAAGCACTCGCCTTCTTTGCATTCGCTATTTGGTGGACAGCCTTGCTTAAGACAAGCTAAATTAAAAATTTTGCTTAATGAATGCAATCAAAAAAACTGACCACATTAAAATTAGTACTGTAAAGTAGGATTTTTATTCTACAAAAATCTATGGCTAATTGTTCTTTTATTTTTATCGCATTTCTGATCTGAAATTCACGTCTGTTTTCAATTTATGCCTAATATTTTATTAAATTTTTGCATTTTTATTAAGTTTATTACCACTAAAATCTATTTGATAAGTTTTTTTAAGAGTGTATACTTCATTTTGTGCAACTTTGTGGTTGACAAAATTGACGATAAAAATGTCTACCTAAAAATTATACAGTTCTGGTTAGGCTGGATTATAAATTAGTCTTTTCGCACTCCACTTGTACAGTTACAATTTAATTACTGTATATATATATACATAAAAGAAGAAAGACTACAAAAAAAATTTGTACCGTAACAAATTGTATTTAATTATATATATACATATAATTAAATTTATTTATTTATTTATTTATTTATTTATTTAGTTACGGTACAAATTTTTTTTGTAATCTTTCTTCTTTTTCTCACTATCATTGATGATTGTTAAATATTTGAATACTACAAATGATTACAGTAGTTTGGTTTATATACTATACATTTTCAATTTGTTTTGAATTATTAAACCTAATAATCTATGAAGAGATAACTGGACTTACGGCCTTGCCTTCTGTAGCACGTGTTGTTAAATATTTTTTCATCCCAGTTGCACGTAATTGCATATTTAGCTGTAGATTCAGAATTATTTAACGATTTGATAAATATTTAAATAATCTTCGACTTTATAAACTTTTGTAATCTAAATGCAAGTTAAAGTTTGTAATTTTTCTTGTAAAATAATCATATTTAAAAACTATGAATAATTAATTCATAGTTTCTAAATATCAGTCCAAACTTTGAAATCTAAATGAAATACATTTGTGAAAAGGAACTTACAATGTGGGAAAAAAATAATTAACAGACTGCAAATAGCAGAAATGTAGCAATTTAAAATCATTCAAATTGTGATGGGAATAACACGTTATCTTTACTTAACGCTGCAGACTTTGTTCTAGTACGACATTTATATGCAATAATATTGTGAAAAAAGCTTGCCTAAACGTATATATCACGCGAAACATTTATTGTGCTCGCATGCTCACATTCAAATAACAAAAAGTTTGAAAAGTTGTTTCTTTTAAAGAAATTTTTTATGATTTATAAATAGGTATTTTTTAAATATATTTCCTTACATTTGAAATTTTTCATCTTCAAGGTGAAAATATTGCTATGAATCACATTTGCCTCGTATAATAGTCTTCAGATTTTTTTCTACTTGATTAAACAGCTAATCAATGAGTAACAAATTTCAGAAATAACAGCGTACTCTTTGTTATGGATGAATCTTTACTGGTTGTATTCAGAATCTAACAAATATAAACTGCTTTTAATTAAGTGCTAACAAATTATGCTAAATAGATCAAAGATGAATGCTTACTGAAAAATTTAACTGAATGTTCCATACCTTAACAGTGCCTGCAGCATTGCATGATATGCTTTTTGACATAATTTAAGCGATTGTAGAATGGAGAATTTAACTTCTGATCCAAATTTCCAGTAATCAGAAATTGTCCATATTTGAATTCCACTATTCTGCAGGAAATGGTTAGTGCGGTGTAATATTCTCCTTTATATCGTGCCATAACCATACCATAATGCTAGCTCGACAATGACGAAACAAATCGAGGCTTCTATGAATACCATTTTTGTCTTATTCAAATAGCCTTCGGTAAGCATAATTTTTTGCTAGTTTTCCCACTGAACTATCTATGCTCTATCTTCGTGATAGATTAGATATTCGTACTTTGTTTGATCCTACTTTTTTGCAATAAAGTTGATTGTTTTCATCATTTTATAATTTATTTTCAGCTGCTTTGAGCAAGCTAACCAATGATACATATGTGATAGCAAGCGAAGTCGAGTCAGCTGATCAGTAATCCAAATCAAACACTGTAAAATACAATATTGTAGATGGATGGCTTTTTTCAATTTCCATTTTAACAAAGCAAAAATCATTTGCAATTGCTACTGAATATTTTAGGTCTCTTGTTTGATAAAAACATTGAAAAACAATCTTTCTTAATCATGAATATGATTGCTGTGAATAGCGATAAAAATAATATTATTAACAATAACAATAATAATGATAATGATGATATTGCCATTATATATTGCACAATTCCAACCTCTTATTATAATTTACTTTAGCTATTATTTAAATTGATTCTATAGCGGGTTGTTTTCTCAGCATATTCTAGAATCCTTGGCAAGTCTCAGAACAAAACTAGCAAGAATCTATTTCAGAATTCTTTTGAACACTGTCTTGTTCTGAGGGTAAAGGCATGAAAAATGACAATATAATAAATGTATTATATAACTACAACATTTTTCTTTTTAAACTAAAATTACTCTTCAATTTCCACAATTAAACCAGAATATAATTAAAAAACTTTTTGTACTTTTTTCGCTCATGCTAGAATTTGCATATCGAAATTAAGTGCTTATTTCAAATCGACTCTGCAGGCAATAGTTTGCTTTTATTCTTACTTAAAATTTTATGAATTAAGTTATTGTCACTTAAGAACTTATAAATGATTATCCATATTTTATCATTTTCGTTTCAGAAAATATCGAATTTAGAGTCAGGTTCTGGTACTGTTACAGAAAGATTAGAAACTACCGAAGGGAATTAGCTGACTGTTGATTATTGCTGCAGCAAAATCATTCACGTTCTATGTATCTGTTGGCTCAGAATAAATATTTCAGTTGTAATCTCAGACATTTGGCTGTAATTGTTGGAGAAAAGTGGGAATACTTGAATAACATATGATTTTATATTTAAAGTAACTGCTGCTAACAAACTAATTGGATCAATTATTGAAAAAAATCATTCTAATTCAAATGTTTTATATTATAAATATGGAATAACTGAATGTATGCAAACACACTACATCGTAAAGTTAAACAAACTATATTATCCAAGACTTTATTCTTTAACATATAAGTCACTAGCATAGAAATTCATAATGGCTGACATAAAAATTAAAAACTCGAAATTTTGTTTAAAAAAACGGTAAAAACCGGTAATTTTCAGTCATGAGTTGGATGACTTATTCAGTTATATTTCAAAAATTAAGTATCAAACAAAAACCTCATATCGATAATTTTTCGCTTAATTTGAATGAACTACGTGCCAAGTGAACTACGTTCTATGACGTGCCAAGTGAACTACGTACTATTCTAGAAGCGCAACGACATCCGTGAATAAAAAAATTTGATATAGTAACACTTATAAGCCTAAAACTTATTTCACTGACATTTGCAACAGAGAAACTCTGGATTCAATTTCGCGTAAAAATGATGTTATACATAAATTAATGAAGAAATAAAAATTAAGCAATTATAGTTCACGTAAAATACTAAATACTGAAACCACACAAAATAAGATAAAAGATATCTAAGGGTTATCACTGTGCATAGAATACAGTACTGTTTGTGAGGCTTTTAATGTATTTTGTTCTATATTTGATTAAAGTTTTTTTGCAAATAACATCTCAAAAATACGATGTTATCAATTCTGGACTATGAAGCATTTCAAACCGTTGATATCATTATTTTATTCTACGAAAATAACATGATAAGAAATACAGTCAATACTATTTTTGAAATTCATAATTGAAAATCCTTCTAGAATGCTATTAATCACTTTTATTGAAGTGAATACAAGAAAAAATAAAGAGCAATTAGCAAATAAACAGTCTTGTTATCAGTGTTTTGCTTTGCTCTATTACCATTCATTTCTTAGGATATTTGAACATATTGAATAGAAAATATTTGATTAATTTGTATTTGAGTAAAAGATTATTTACTTGTGATTAGCAGATGATAACAAATTCCAGTAAATTGCTAAAATATAAATACTCCATGCAATGCATTAAACAGCAGAACATGCTTAAGTCTTTACTAGGTAGCTTGCTTTAAGCTGCATATTCATTTACAATCTTCCCAGTTTTATTCTTTATACAAATGCAATAATATTTATTATTATAATTTTATTTTGCTAAATGTTTCATTATTTTATTCACAAAATTACTTTACTGAATTCAATAACTTCGTTCACATATGAATGAAAGTAATCGTTTAATGAATTTATATGTAAAATAATTCTTTCATTTTCATGTATAGCCCATATTATTACCAACTGTAATACTAATTAACTTTTGTAGATTTATCGCAAAAATGTATTTTTCGTTTTTATTCCTCAGCCTTTGCATTATCGGTTTTGTACCAATCCAAGGTGTATTTCGAGTTTATTCTGTTCAACGAGAACTGATTGATAGCAATCAAAATGTTATACAAATTGAAAAACGAGCACTAATCTTTGAAAATAATAACATAACAATCGGTACAGTTGACCCTTGCTCTCTTTGCTCGGATTTCTTTGAATATGCAAAAGAGCTTCTTCATAAAGCAGTGGCTTTCTTCTCCAATTCGGTAAATTTTACTTTAATGCTAAATTTTTAAAAATTTGACGTTTTTTCCATGATATTTTTATGTTAATTAAATGCTAATTAAATTAAATTGAGTAATGATATACGAGATCTATTAACTCAGAAATGTTTTAAAAAGTTGTTAAGTATAAACCTTAAGTTATGCATGACCTTGCTAACTTTTTTAATTAATTTAATTACTTAATAAGATTTCAGACAACGTTGCACGAATGTGAGCGTCGTTTTGGACCTTATGCAGTATCACATCCTGTTTGTTTACAAGCTCTTTCTTTACTAGCTCGATTTTCTAGCTACGTTGGACATGAACTCAATTCTACAGTCATTTGTCAAACTGTAAAAGCTTGTGTTTAATTTTTTGTTGCGACTTTTATTCAGCAGTTAGGATTGAATTGTTAACTTAAAGTATTATTAGAATTATTGACAAATGCATTTGCCAGAATAAAAAAACAAGTAAGTAAAGTAGTAAAGTCACTTGCACAAATATTGTCGCATCATCATTCAAGTAATAGTTCCGGTAATTATGCAGAAGTTATTCATTAACTGTACTGAATATTTTATAGTCAAAAATAATTTTTAAAATATACAATTGGCATAAATTTACAAAAGTATAAAAATTGAAAATTGAATTCGATTTGGCAATAAAAGTTTTTGAAGTTTTAATTCTTACAAAAGATTAAAAAACAACACAAAAATTTATCTGAGTGATTCATTTATCGGTATTAATTAGAGTCATATTTCAAGCTTCTAATACGAGTAAATTACTGATAATATCTCAGCTTTTACCTGTTGAATTTAGTCAACTGACAAGAGTAACATTAAATTCAGACCACCACTCTTTGATATGTTTACCTTCTTCAGTAGGTGTTGTTGAGCATACTTCTGAATTTGTTATAGGCATTGGTTTTCCAATTAATGTCATCATATCTGAAAAAATATTTAAACGTTTTTCTTAGAGGTCAAGTGAATAGATAAATAAATTTGAATCTACTCGATCTATACTTACTTATTCGACATTTTATGTATCTTTGATGTAAAGCTATTTCAAACGGTCTTAGATGATATAAAGGGTGATTCGAATCGAAAGTCGATATTGTCAGTACCACAAGTCAGATAATAAAATTAATAATTTGAGACTGCAAGTCGATTCATAAAGTTTAAAAAATATATCTTATGCTAATTTTTGGTACTTGTAATAATTTGCAGTGCATTATATCAAATAATTGCACTAACTTTGACTTATTTTCTGAATAAATTTCAGAATAAAATAGTTTTAATAATATCCAAAAAGATTCAACCATTATTTAGTTCATTTATGGTAAGTAATGCAGCTTCTGCGGAAAATCTTCTCTCATTATTAGAGTTTATTCCTTCAGCGCTAACATTCTCTTCACTCCATTCTTCAACATCAGGAAGTTCACTCGTAGGCAACTTAAATTGTAACGAATTCGTATGAATTTCAATCTACTCAAATAATACTACTTAGAATCTATTCAGTTTATTATTCAAAATATAATTATTATTTAAGGATTAATGAAAAAAAAAGCATAAACATACATTTACTTGTACACCTTTGACTGTTTTTCTATCATTACGAATAACTGGTATATTTCTATCAGTAGTAATTAAAAATGATTTCATCCCTTTATCTTCACGAGTATTTACTCGATCTGATTGACCTCCATGTGTTCCACGTAATCGTGCACTTGAACTTCCAGTAAAAATAAACTTTTTTGCTGCTTCCTGATATTTTTATCAATACATTATCAATAATTTTACATGAGCATTTTACACAAAAAATATTATTAATAATAAAAAATGAGAGAAAACATACGCCAACAATTTCTGGAATACTGTTTCTTCGTGATTTTCTAGTTTGCTTACGCCTGATTAGTTCATCATCATCATCAGTTATTTCTACACTCGCTTGCTCTGATTGTTCTTGTTGTTGAAAGTTATTCGCTATATTTAACTGATTACCAAACTGATTAAGTTGTAACATTGATTGCATATTATGTTGTTCATTCAGCAATGGTCGAAGTTGTGCAATTAATGGAATATCTTTCTGAAGTTTATGCAACATTCATTCTTTATGCAAATTTTTTATAAATTAGCATAATTTTTGCATAGTTGTGATTTGTAAAATGCTGATAAAATTTTTTGAAAAAACAGTTTAGAGATGAAATAGAAGATCAATTTTATTATTGCATAAATGATTAATACATTGTTTTGAGAATCAGATTCATGATTGAAAAAAGATTCTATGAGCACTGTAGATCAAATTAGTTATCAAATATATACCTTACTGTAATAATTACAGTTTTTCTTCAATCTGTGCTTGAAAATCTAGAAATATATCTCTAATTCAAATTAGTTTATACTTAAAGGTAAGTAATAAGAATTTTAGTGAATAAATATTAAATATATGCAAATTAAATGCGTTTAAATATACATTTTGTTGAGCTTTAATTCGCCTTAAAGTGTTTTCAAGCCAAGAACGTATAGTCTGTTTTGCCACTTCTTCTTCAATAATATACTCCAACTCTTCTCGATGTAGTAATTCTTCAAGTTGTAATGATTTCCTTATATCCACACTACGGTATGACAACATGCTGAATTCATTATCGTAATCTTTTGCATAAAATATAACTTCATTTTTTGATATAAATTATTTTGTAAACAATATTATTAATATTTTTAGCCAAGATTTATTAAAAAAAACATTTTGTACAAATCAGCTAAAATTTTTTTCTGCAAACATTAAGCTTTAAAAAATTTTAAATAAAAAATCAAAAATTTTGGAAATTAACAAACAAACTTCAGAACATCGTGAAAAGAGATGTCATCTCCATTATGCAACCGAACCATTTCGTAGCACATATGCTTGAATAGTAAGCGATCTCTATTGGGGTCAACTTCAAGACGACCTTTCAATAGACGCAATAAAAACTTTACTCGTCGAACTGGTATACTGCGCTTAAAATATTGTATTTCTTAAAAATATTTCAAAAATAATATGAAATTTTTTATTTTTTGCTTTCAGAAGAAACGTAAATAACGTGTACACGTACTGAATATTTCAAAAGCACACAAAAAAACAAAATATTACAGTACGAAAAATAATATTGTATTGAATGTATTGATAATGAAGTCACATGCGTAATACTAAATGAAATATAAAAGAAGTATTATATGACAATAAAATTTAAAATTATTTACTTTCTGCTCCACGTCAACCATATTCCATACTTGTTGAAAATTACGAATGTCAGCATAACTCAATAGTGCGTCTTCTTCACTTGAATAAAACAGTGAAAAATTTTCGATAATTACAGCTGAAAATATTATAATATTAAACGCTATAATATTACATAACTTATCAATGAAGTAATATAAAAATAAAATTATAGCTTAGTAATTTTGTTTAAAAAGAATTAATACTTACCAACAAGAAGATTTAATACAATATAAGTAATAATCAGATAAAAAGAGCAGAAATAAATAATTGCACCAAAGTAATTACCACAATCAGTTTGCCAGTAGCTTACACCTTTTTCCCAGTAACATAGCGGTGGACTCCGCTTGAAATTACTTACTTTTCAATTAAAAAATGTAATAAAAATAAGCAAATGATAAGTTTAGAGATATAATAAATACTTCAGCTATTTCCAATCACCCATAGTGACTAATTTTCCATCAAATTACACAATGAGAGCAAATAAATAAGTAATGTTTAGAGTTTTAAAGCAATTAACGAACACATAAGGCTTAAGAATGATAAGAATATTATAATAATACTTAAGAATTATTACTTAAGCTCATTATCAATAATTCATCATAATATGTAAGGATGTACCATGCAGTCATGCATAATATCGTTCCAGTCTTCACCAGTAACACTTCGAAATAGCACCACCAATGCTTCTTTAGCATTTCGGAAATTAACATGCCTAGACAAATAATTACTATTAATTAAAATATTCAAGCATACTTCTTATGATAATCAATTTTTCATGAAGTTCAGTAGGACCATCACTAACACTTTGCAGAGTTTATGGAAACTGAGCAATTTTCTTTTTTACTCTTTACTAACGCCTTTTTTTATTCTAATCAATTTATACTTTGTAATTGTATAATTAAAAAACTAATTTTGAACTATACTAAATCGTAATTATCATCATTAATGACTAATAAAGTGAACTGTTCACAAGATATATTTATAAATTATGCAGAAAAACAAACTGTTTGCTTATTAATATTTGATTAAGAGTTATTTTGTTGTTGAGAATATGAGAACAAACTTTGAAACAGCCTGTCCATACTTGACCATCCCAAATAAAATAACACCCGTGTAAGCATAAAAAAGTACAAGGAGAAACATTGCTGTGATAATGAACATACTTCGTACCATACTCATTACTACAGTTAGCATTAACATTTTCAGAGTAGTTTTACGTCCTAAATATATTATTATTACTATTATTATTATTATTATTATTTTACTTTAATAGCGAATAAATAATTAATTAAAAGTTTTTAAGCTAACCAGCAATTGTGAAAAATCGCAGGATTACTACCATGTAACCAAATGTATATGTAAATTCTTTAAGTTCAGTAGGACCACCAATAGCACTTGCTGGTAAAGCCATTGTAAAGTGAGTAAAAATCCAAAAAAGTCCAAGTATTGTTATCAAAAGGTCAATACGATTCCGTCGAGATTGCCAAAATCCACGCATTGTAAAAGCAATCATCTTTAATAAAATCTAAAAAGTTTTTTTGATGTAAGTTTTGTATTGATATTATAGTTAAAAAATAATTTTATGCAAATGAAGTAATTTAAGATTTTTGAAGAATTTAAAAAAATATTTAAGCTTTTTTAAACTTTCGGTTTAGATAAAATATGTAAGCAAAATGCGTTTGTCAAATTTTTTATTTAAAAAATATTTCTGTGATAAAATCTAAGAAATAATTTTGTAACGTTATTAAGAGTTAACATAATTGATGGATTTCTGAAGGCAAATTATGACCTCAACAGTAAAGAGGATATTAACTATGGCTGAAAGGCTTGTCATGAAAAAAAGTGCGTTTGGACTGTTTTTTTCTTCTTCAACATTCCAAGGAACGAATAAGGTCACTGAGTTGATTACTACTAATACTACAAATACCTAAAAGAAAATTTGCATAATAGGTACAGCTATTCTTTGAAGAAATTTTGAAGAATTCAGAATTCACTGCAGAATCGTTTGATTACAAGTTTACTGGATGATAGATAGAATTTGCTTTATTTATAATAGTTAGCGAAATTCAGAGTACAAAAAAATGACATTAACTAAAAGCAGTCATTTTCAACAGATTCTATTAATAGATTCCTAGTAAAAGTTTTTTACCTGTTTGAACCATTTACTTAAAGTAATTTCGTACAATCTAATTCGAAGTTTTGCAGATTCAGCTGGTTTCGGAGGCACATGCAAAGGCTGCGCCATTTTCAGACGTGCTTTTAGATCATGCCAACGGCGCTGATCTACCGTAAGCAAAGCTGTACCCTAAACTTACTCACTTTTACACTTACAGTAATGAAATCTTAAATTAATGTTCAAATGATTATATTAAAAAACAATTTTAAGCAATATTTTTATAATTAAAACCTATTTCAGTTTCATACTAATCTTATTTTGAAAATTACACGTGTATTTAATGTAATAAAATATTTTAAAGAATTTTCTACTAATCTGATTTCAATAAAGCTGTAAATGAATTTCAACCTCTTATAATCATTTTAAATTCTTTTAAGTACTAATTAATTGTTTACTTAATTTTCAAACAATTTAAAAGTATAATTCTTACTCGGTTTTCAGTGTAATTAGCAATAACAACGCCAACAAAAAGAGTTAAACCAATCATACAGCCAGTAAACACATATATATGAATAAATACAACTGCCCACTAAAATTAAATACGAATTAAAATACTTCAAAACAAATAATTAATTATAAAATTAAATAAGGTCCTTACAGGTCCTTGTCTCATCCACAGAATATCGCGAATAACATTCCAACCTTTGTATGACAATGTTTCGAATAATGCTAACATTGCATTACCGATATGATCAAAGTTGAAATTTCGTGGATTTGTCCTATAAAACTATTTTATTTATGCTTATGAATGTAATCATAAGCCTTATAAGCATTATTTTATCATGGCAAGATAACTTATCACCTTTTTAAGACTCAAATTGCGGGAAATTAAAAAAAATTGAAAATGGACTACCATACTCGTGGTACCCATATTTTAGGGTGCAACTCATCATCATTCTTCCCGTATACTTCCATTCGAGTAACAAATATTTTTTGTTCAAATAACCCAAAACATTTCTCCTGTAATCATTTAATTAATTCATTATTTTATTACTTACTTTTTATCATTGATATTATAATTATCATAAGTAATTTTTTCAACTGAAAGAAAAATTGAATGAACTTTGCTTCGGTAAACTGTATAGAAATTAAAATTTTTTATTCTTGAACAGAAATTAATTACTCTTTCTGTAATTGTTGGATCATTACAAGCTGCTAACTTGCCACCTGCGATTTGCACTCCAAAACTAGCAAATATAAACATTAGCAATACCAATAAAATGGTAACCTGAAATGTACGAATTTAGCAAATTAAATAACATTAAATGCTTACTTTTATTCATTTGTAAAAGTTTTTCCAGCATTTGAGCTTCTGAAAAAAAGATTTAAAATTTTATCGCAAAAAAAATTTAAATACCAAAAGTATTTCCTTGAATCCCTTGCAGAGTTCAACTACTACTCTTCTAATGTGTGGTACTAAAGTGTAAATACGCAAAGGTCTCATAGCTCGAAAGATCATCATCAGCTGTGCTAAAGAGTTAATTTCAACGTGACGTGGCATCCAAATTAAGTAAATCACACTTGTCTAAAATTATTTTTATTATTAAACAATTACTGCAACTATTTCTACAGAAACAAACAAATTGTTTTTATTCACATATTATACAAATTTATTTACAGTACTGATATACCATATTTTGGAAAATGTGACAGTTTTCTTGAAATTCATTCAAAGTTTGTGATTAAAATAATCAGAAAAGATTTTGTGGAATTACAAGCAAGAAAATACAGAGCTAAATTTTTGTTAATTACATTAATTAATTATAAAAAAGTTTTTTAATTAAAATCCAATTGCAACAGAATTTAATTATAAAGAATAAACTCATATCGAAACTTTTTATACAAGGAGTATTTTACTTTCTAAGATTTAGTGATGTGTCATTGATATAACCTGATAAAAAATGTCTGTAAAATTGATAAAAAAGCATCTAAGTAAATTCTGAAAAAGTTTATCAGTAATTTATTTTCGCGCAAGTAACTGTCTTACCTTTCAAATAGCTGAGATTAATTAACCACCTAAATAAAATTAAATACTAATTTTAGGTGTTAATAACTTATTGTTATTTTCGTGGATTTTAATGGTACTACTTAAAAACTTAATTTTTTCAAAATATGATAAAATTCTAATAAAAGTTGAAAAAGAAATATTAATTAATCGGGCATACAATATAAATGAAAAGAGTCATAACATCGCCAACATCTCGTACTACGGCAGTTGGCGTAAAAATGAATCCATTTGCAAGTATTTTTACAGCAAGTTCAAAGGTCATTGATATAACAAACATATACTCACAAATCTGGAAAAAATTATGAGACTTTAAAAATTAAACAATAAATATAAACAAATGAAATATATACTACAAATTAAATTAATAACTCAAGTCTAACTAATAATAGCAATTTAAAGTAAAGTTGATCTGCCTACTATATATGCTAATTAATTTGCTAAATACCCACTTTTAAAAAATAAATAAGTATTTTTTTGTGATATTATTATGATAAACTGTAACATTAACAAGTTCAAAGTTCATTAATTGTTTTTGCAAGAAATCAGTTCAGATATTAATTGATTAATCTGCATTACTTGTAAATACGGATTATTGAAGATCATATTTTCTCCAGTAGTTGGCCACGGGCTTTCAAATAACATTGAGCCACAAGAAAGTGCAGTGAAAAGTACCATAGCCCAGTCAAGATATGTCAATAAGCCTATTAATGCACTGCAAAACAAAAGTTTTAAATTTTCGAATATTTATATTTCAAATAAAATATTTTCGATACAAAAAAGATTACGAGTTTATTTAATTAAATCTGAAATATCATGAAATTGTTCTTTTTCTTTTTTTGGAAATATAATTGTGATTGTACAACAAAATATTAAAAGATAACATGACAGTACTTTATGACTGTTAAAAAATTGAATGATTTTATGATTTGAAATTGTGAAGAGCAATTTTTTATTGTTATGTTAATATTATATTTCCGATTATTACTTTTATGGCGCAAAACTGATACCGTACTCTCACTTATCAATAAATGTTTGATAAACTGATCAGGCAAATATCTAATCACATTAAAAATAATAAGTTTATAATAAATATTAACTGTAATTGCTTATAGCGTTGTTGTATTTGCTTTCCTGTAATTGAATCAATTTTGTCAGGCAAATATTTTGCATAAACTATTTCTTGACAAATACGTCTTAAACGAGAATCTCGATCAACCACAAAAAGTGGTCGATCAAAAAAAGGATGATTCTCTCTGATTTCTTCTTCAATTCGATTCCTTAAATGAATTTATTCAAAAACAATGCCTGAAAATATTAAATAAAGTTTTTAGTTTTGTCAAAATTAAATGAAGAATAAAATTTTATTAGAAATGAAAAAGATAAAATAGAGAAAATTTGGTTGAATTTTTAAAATTAGCAGTTTTTAAAAGTATAATAAATTATTTTATCTCATTAAGACAGAATTTGTGAACTGAAATTACATCAAAAACTTTTCAAAAATTTTAAAAGTAAAATAATTGAACTGTTATTTAACCTGGTCAATTCTGCATGTTGTCGTCTTTGCTGCAATGCTTTAATATCAATTTCTCCTTGTTTTAAAACAGTTTTATGTGCAGAATCTGCTAAACGTACATCACCATTTTCTTTCAGATGCTCATAAACAACTTTTAATTTTGTTGGTCTACTGATACTTCTGTTTCGATATCTAAAATTAAAATTAAAAAATAAATTGCTATATTTTTTTTTACTTTTGTTAATTAAAAATTAGCAATTAATCTAATTCTCGCATGCTCATGCTTCAGAATCATTCATAACTGAATAAGCAAACCTTGAATCACCCCACATTCGATTACTACTTCGACCTAATTGAGCGATAAACTGATTAGAATCCGAAAGCAAAGCACGATTTCGCTTTGTTTCTCTACAATTCAATTTATTTTATGTTTATCATGCTTAGCCTTTTACCTTTTACTGATTAATTTTATTCTTACTCAATTAAGATGCTGATAGTCCATTTAGATGAAAGTTGTCCAATCTGACGTACAATTAAAGCATTACGGAAAAACGCTTTACCAAAATTGCGTAGTACCTGTTTCTGGTAAAGATTAGGCTCTGAAATCAAATTAATCCTAAGCTACAAATTTTTAATAAACTTAGAATTAAGATTATTTTCTACTTTTTTGAAGAAAAAAAGCAATAAAATTGTTGTATAAAAAAGAAGTAAAAAACAGTTTAGCTATAAAAAGTAAGAATAATATTATCAAAAAATATTAAAAGTAATAACAAAATACCATCTGAATGTGAATCATATGTTGGAGTATTTCCTTCTGTAAATTGCTTCGTGAAACTTTGACGTACTTTTGGCAAAGGAAATTCACTTGAAACTTTGCGTAATTCTACCATCTGTGGCCGAGTTGGAAATTTATCAAAAATTCTTAATCGCCATGGAAGTGTTGTACGCATACAGGTGGTCTGTATGTAAATTAGAATACAAATTGCATGCTAATTTTTTTGTTATCAATCAAAGTTACATTCCGCTTTTTTAATTTTTATTATTTATCGTTTTCAAAAAGTAATTTATCTCGCAAAATAAGCAAATTTTTCACCATTTTTTGTTTTTGAATTTTTTCATTACTTATTGCTATGATTACTTTTTCATAAGAATTTATTTGCAAATATTACAATTTATTTAATAAGTTTAATAATTTGTTAAATATATTTTAATATTTGCTATTAAAAAATTATTAAACAAATTGTAATATTTGCTTATTTTGAGAGATAAATTACTTTTTACTTAATTACTTTTCTCATTTAATTATTAAAAAGCTTTAATTATTTTTTGTCTTTTTCAATCTAAATTTAATTTTTAATTTTAATTTACTCTCTCTATTACTTTACCTCTTCTCTTGCTTTTAATTGTTTAACTTTTTTCAATTCTTCATCCATCTCTAAATTATCGAGAATGACAGCTACAAATAATGACAGTACTATCTGCAAAACATATTTATACAGTAACATTTCTTAAGCAAAAATAAAATAAAATCGTAATTTTTCCAAAAATTTTTATAAATTTGTGAAAATAAGACGAAAATTTTTATTTTGAAAATATAAATTTATATATATTTATGAATTGAAAGAAGAAATTAATACCAAAGTAACAAATAAGTGATATCCAACAAAATATATTGTGACAAATGGAACCATGGATTCATTTGTGGTACGCAGAATCTCCACAACTACATCTGTCCAACCTTCTTGTGTAATTATTTGAAACATTGACATGAATGCCTGAATATGAAAAATAACTCAATATTTTTAGAAAATTAGCATAAAAATAAATTTTACCTGTGGAAAAGTCCGAAATTTATCCAAATTTGGTACATAGCAAAAGAGTTGAAGCGAAATTGCTGAAGTAATAACGAGCAGTACCATGGTAAATATTACTAAACCACCTAACTTTTTTCCTGGTCCAAAAATCTGCAATTTTATTTTGAAATATTACAAATAAATTTATTATTTATTATCGGTTCTTTGTCAGTAATATTTATTAAAAATTTATCCAAATTTGGTACATGAATAAAATTGCTAAAATTTTTTGAAATGTACTTTAATATATTCTATTGTAATACATATTATTATTGAACTTCATCATTTTTAGCACTGGAAAAATACTGATAATCATGAATAATTTTATTAAATTTTAAAATTTTAAAATAAGAATAAATGAGTTATTATTTTATAAATTTAAACTTTTACAGAATGTTATATATACATTTAATTTTTGCAATTTTAACCATTTTGATACGTCTATTACAATGAAAATTTGAAATAATAAATAGTTTAGAAAAAATATTTGTAGAATTAATTTCATTAATTTCTAATCAACAATTTATTTCATGCAATAAATTTTTTGAGAAAAGTCAAAATTTTTGTAAATTTCATGAAAAACAAAAAATTTTCATTATTGTTGCTGAAAAAAACTTTTGTAAAAATTGAATAAATTATTAAAACTTGAAATTAATTACTTTATAAACGAAATCCTCTAGCATTGGTGATGCACGGATCAAACGAACAATTCGAAATACTTGGAAGTAAGTAAAAATATTTTTTGAATAGAGTGGCTTTATAACATTTAAGGTGCTACCAATACATAAAATAAATTCAAATTTATGTAAACCACGTCGTACGTATCGATGCCATTCAAACGCCAAAATTTTCAAAAGGCATTCCACATTAAAAATTATCGTGAAGCCTACCTGTATTTTGAATCATTTATTCAAATTATTCATTTTAATGAATAAATTTAAGTACGAATAAAAATGATATTAATTTGCTAACTTTATTCTTTTGTTCATTTTAACATTATTTTTTATTTATTAGGGTTTTTTTTTAATTTTTATTTTTTTAAATGTTCTTACTTCAATATAATAGTAGATTAACTTGCGCGGTTCATCACTTGCATCATGCTTGTGTACGAGAGATGCATTAATCAGAGCATTCAAAACTACCATTACCATCATGCATGTTTGAAACGTGGCTGAGCGTACAATCTACAAAATAAAAATTTACAAAATTTATAAATAATTTAGTAAAAATTGTACATAATTTCAATACCATAATTGTAGCTATAATTATTGACTATTATTTATTATTATCTCTTTTCAAGCTTCATAAAAAGCTAAAAAGTTTTGTATAAACTTTAAGACTAAGAAAATACTTCAACTTAGTTCATCCATTAAAAAATTATTATTTTACTGAATTTATCAACAACAACAACAACAAAAATCTCAACAAACCCAATAAAGAGGCTTTGGAGCACTGTTAGGATTCATTTTTTCTGCATCAACTGCTACTAGTCGCCATCCATCTTCAGTTTTTTCTAGCTTCTTCAATATGAAGTGAATTTGATTATTTAATGAAGGTACCAATGAGAGGATGCATAATATTAATTTTAAATTTCGCGTAATATTTGTATATTATTTGCTTATTTATTTACCTGAGCAAAGCTATCTTGAATTGTAATTTCACGCGTTTGCCACATTTCACTAAATTGTACTCGGATTTCAGCAAAAGTTTCTGTTATAACAGCAATAAACACATTCTAAATAAATTGAAAAATTGGAACTCAATAAAATTCTAATAGCTTTTTTAAATAGCTACAATTGCGTATTCAAATGAATATTGCTGTGCTCAGCTTTCAATTTAATTAATAATTGTCATGCCAAATAAAAAATTTGCTAAAATAAGCCAATTAACAATAATATAAACCTAAAAACTAACCTTCACTAGCCAAGCCAGTAAAAATATCAAAGTTATAAAATAAAAAAAAGCAATATAAGGTGGAAAAGTATCCAAGCAATCATAAAGAACGTAAACCCATCCTTCCTGAGATGCTGCCATGTAAACTGTGAATAAACTTGAACCTATAAACAGTACAATTTTAAATAAATGAGTTTTTAAATATTACCACTGATTCATTCTTCTTTTCAAAATACTTTTAGGCATAACAATTATTTGAAATTTAAAAACTTACAATAACTTTTATTCAATTAACTTTGTTATTAAACAATACAGTACAAATATAATTAAGTTTATACATTTTAATGCGTGGTGACTTATAATTTTATCAGAATCTTTTTTTAAGGATTAATTGTGAAAAAATAATTAAAATTAGCAAACCAAAATCGTTGAACATTCCGTAGAAACCTGCAGCATGAGCACTCATGTCTAATTTAACACACTGCATATTCCCAGGACATTCATATCCACCAGCTCCTTTTTGGGAGCACATAGTGTCCGGAATCGCTAAATCTGCGATTGTTACATTTGAGACATTTGTTCCTGGCAGAACGCAATGATAATTCATGCGACCAAAAAGTTGAACTCCCATTATTGCATAAAATGCCATAAAAAACATAAAAAATATTGTCACGTTTTGAATTTGTTGAGAAGAGCGCCTAAAAAATTTCTTTGTACTTTTCATCCTACTTGTGTAATCTTACGGTCAAGAAATGATTTTATTTTTTGCATTTATGCAAATTTATTTTATAATTTTTTGCAGTTCACAAATTTTAAAATTTTTACACTCAATCAAATTTGATGTTTGAACCTCCTCTAATATCAAGAAATATGCATATTTATCAGCCCAAAATATGAAATAATATCTTTTATTGCCTAATATAACTAACAGTTATCATCTTAGTTTAATTTTTAATTATTTTTCAAATCATTTTTCTATAATATAAAAAGAATCAAGTTTTATAATATCATATATTTTTATAATATCAATAAATCAAGCAAATTAAGATTACGATCATAATAATCTGTCCATATTTAAGAAGAATTAATGATTTTTTGGTTTTTAGATCACTAATAAGCAGTTATTCTATTTGGTTTAGCACATATTATAGCTTACTTGATAATTTGCTGAATACGATTTCTAGGTAATTTGAAGCGTACAATTGAACGAACAAATCGTATCATAATAAACGGTCTCGGGGCTCTGATAACACCGTACCAAGGTCGGTATTGCCATTGCAAATGTGGAAACCAAATAGAAATGAGTTCACAAGCACTTAGTAATACCGATGAAATATGCAAATTAAGCAAGAAAAAATCGAATTGGCACCAGCGATCTCGAAGATAGCTTCCTTCATGCTGATAAAATTTAAAATTATATATACAACTGTATATTATTATAATTACTGTACCAAAAATACTGGAACATATTGAGTAGATTATCGAATATATAATACTTTAAAATACTGTATTATCACTGATGACTGCTGATAAACTCAAACAAGCAGTACTTTATAATTCTATACAAACACTGCTAATCACTGATAAACTTAAAAAATTTCAAATCGATAAATCATCGAATAATGTTGGATTAATCATTGTTTTTATACATAAAATAGCAAAATAATTAATGAACTAACTGTAATAAGTCCATTTGTAATAATCTTGATGACAGCTTCGGTAAGAAATACAATAGTGACGACAGTGTCAGTGAAGAATACAATGTAATAAAATGATGGGAAGAAAGAAAAGGTATGTGGGGTATTGAGGCAGACTGATATCATTGATAGGATACATGCTAATTTTAAGATATCTTCGAATATGGTACTCTGTAGAATCTCTGCAAATTACAGTATTATTCCATAATAAAAAGTATAGTAATTAAGTATGCTCACTGTATTATTCTAAAATAAATAAATAAAGGCAAAGAAAAAACCATTATTGTTACATTGATTACAGTAGCAGAAAGTGAAAGTTTCTCAGCGAAATATTTTGTTTTACTTAAATCTCAGTTTCATTTCTATTTTAGAATAGCAGAAGTCAAAAAAGGAATTTTAGTACGAATCCATCAAGTTTTACTTTCAGACATGCATTTCTTTGGAGAATAAAACAAATTAAATGACATTTAGTTAAAAGCTAATTGTTAAAATTAAGCAGAAATAATTAAAGATATTTATATCTTTTTTTCGAATTTAAAATTCAGACTAATTCTAATCAATATTTTTTAAATTAATAATCAACAATTTATTGTGCTAAAATAAAAAATTTTGTCAATGGTAATTGCGGTCATCACAATTTTATACCAAAGAATATTTTTATTTATTTATTTATTTATTCAGAATTAGTACGGTATAGAAAGCTAAGTACAGAGAATTTTTATGCGCAAATTTAAATCATAATATTTACAGACTGTATCCACAATTTTGAATTCAGCTATACTGATAATTTCACGTATATTTTTGACTTCATAAGTGTAATTACTATCAATAAATAGTAGTCAGGAAGCTCAGTTTCAGACTTTTATTGTATTTCATTCAAACATAAAAAATTATGTGAATTATAGAGATGATTTTATGATTAATTTGAAAATTATTTTTTAGACGATTTTTTTTGTATTTTTTTTTTTGATAAAATGAAGATATTGAAGTAATCAAGCTAGATATCATATTATCTTCCGTATGTTTTCTATTTAATCAATTTTCGCTATTTTCAAAAAAAGAATGCTTGATTCTGTTAGGATAGAAGAGTTAGTTTGAATCTGTAGCTAATAAAACATCAGACTGCTTGATTCTGTTAGGACAGAAGAGTTAGTTTGAATCTACAGATTTTGCTAATAAAACATTTCAGTGAAATGAAAACATCTGTTTTTTAAAGATTGATTTAACAAAGATTTAGTATATTTTTGCTTTTTACTTTTTGTATTGTCGTGTGAAAAATTAGAAAAATTGAAAAATAATTAATTAACTTACTATTTAAAAGAATGACGAGATGGAGGAGTAACGTGGCCATATTGGACCTTACTTATCTATAGTTAAGGGATGAGAGTCAAGAAATGGAAGTAGTAAACTAGAATAAGAAAGGCTGTAAAGCACTAGAATAAGTAGCGTCGACTCTTGCATTGCATCCTCATTTTCCACTCTCGAAAATATGCAAAAATCTGTGATATTTTCTTGTCTGCCATTTTCAAATATATACACGCATACACGCATACACACACATGTGCACGTACTAATGTATACACATACACATACACACACGCATACACATACACACACACACACGTACGTACATATCTATGAACAAAAAAGTATAAAATTTTTGCTATATTTTCATGATTTCACTAATTTACTAGCTTACTCTGATAACAAAGTTGGTAAGCGTGAAAATGAATTGAGAGTTTTGTGAACTAATTCTTTCATTCTTTTGCTTTTAAGATCGACTAATTCATTCAATCTTGGCTGCTATGTCTTCCTATCTTCTATCTAAGTTTGTGACAACATATCAAGCTCGGACTTGGCTCTTTTTTCTTAGCCAAACACTTATAAAACTTTCTTTCTTATCTAACAATCTTTTCTATTCATTTTTAAAATGCAAGTGACGAATATTTGTTAAAGAAAGTTTTCCCTTTTTTTAAAGTAAAAGTAACGTACTGTCTCACGTACGTATCTCAATTTTAGTAATTTGAGTAATTACTCTCTTACTTGCTTAAAAATTATCTTTTGAACAAATGATCAATCGTAGATCATAGATGTTTCAAGAACTTGGAATAACAGTAAAATCATAAATAATTTATTGTGTATAATCTTTAATGAATGATTTCTTTAGTATTTATTTGTTATATATAGTTGCAATGCAAAAAAGAATTCTGTTTTTAAGTAATTTTTCAACAAATGATTACAAATGATTTTAATTGAAATTACATTATTATTACTACTTTTATCTGAATTACTTACAAATAATTGGAATAATTAATAAGAAAAATATAACGATTTGGTTAAATAAATAAAGTAGTAAAATCTTTTTCACGTATTAATTACTAACCACTAGTATGTTGTTTATTTGATGAGGTATCAATATTCATCATTTCTGCTAAAACAGTAATTGAATCATTTGTAACACCAGCTGTACCACCACGAATTGCTCCTGCGGTATTTTGTACTGGGTTTGCGGATGAGGGTTTGTGGTGCGTTAACATTGCACCAGACAAGGCAACTGCTTTGCAAGCTAAAATTGGATAATTTTTGCAGAAAATTGGGATACAATTTGACTTATCTGTATATATTTTCTTTGCACCTAAAGTTCTTTATTTTTTTTGATTATTTTAATATATTTTTAATTTGACTTCAATTTAAACTTTGCTTTCCCCTTTGACATTTAATGAAATTGTTTAACTTTTTGTTCAAAAACACTTTAAAAAATTTATGTATTTTAAAATTACCAAAGCAATACTTACATATATTTTAAGGAAGAGTAAGACTGACGATTCATTAGATATTTTATAGTCATCTTTACATAATCAGCACCAACCTTTAGCGGCTACCAATTTCAGAATACTCTTAATGATTAGAAAAACAACCAAAATAGTTTACAACGTTTATACGTTAGTGAAGACAACGAAGCAAAAAATTAATTATTCCACATGTGTTGCTATTAAAGCAAATATTTTTTTTTGTAAAATTATTAATGAGATTATTTTATATATTCAAAATTAGAAATAATTACGCTATGCAAGAAGTAAGTACTAGCTAGCAATTAAATGAGGTAAAGATGATATGAGAGAAGTAATGAAGGCAATGCAATGCAGAAGAAAAAAGCCTAGCTGGCCAAGAGTGTACTACGTGGAAAGGCCAAGCTGGCCAAGATGAAAAGGCTTTATTACTCATTGAATTTTTTATTCATCCTTGACGAATTCTTTTTTTGCTTCATAAAAAGTTAAAATTTATTCATTTTTCTCTTGAAAGCAATTTGTTTTATTTGCTTAAATTAAACTAATAAATAACTTCTTCGTTTCTAATCAATAAAAACGTTTAGACAAAGTAATAATATTTATCTCATTTTTATTTCAGTGCAATAAATAAAAGCTAAGTATGAATATTTTAATTGCATAAAAATATTTTAAAGAAATTTAAGCGTATCACACGCAATAAGCTTAATTTATATAATAGCTCTTATATTTATTAATATCTGTATTTTTTGATTTTTTTGCAACTTATTTTCTATTTTTTTCTTTTTTTTGACATTCTTAATAAAAAATTGAAAACGTTTCACATATGCTAATTTTTTTCATTTCAAAAAGTAGCAACAACGAACAAATAATAAGTATAACACTTGGAATTTTCAATAATTTTTAACTGCCTTTTTTATTACCCATTAAAATATTATTAGAAAATATTATTAGAATTTAAAAAAATTAAAAAAAGAAAAAAGTGAAGACATAAATTTAAGTCTGGGAAAGAACTTTAATTTTTGAACTTTATTCAAACTTTTTCTTTTCTTATTTTTTCATTCAAAAACTTTTAAATATGACAATTTTTTTTTCATACATAACAATATCAATAAAATAAGTTAAATTTTTAAGAAACTTTTTTAAAACAACCAAAAAATCAACAAAAATGATAAAATTTTTAAAAAAGTAGAAATACTTTCTAGTATAGAAAATAATGAAAAAATAAAAACTAATAAATTTTATAAAAATCAGTTTTCAACAAACTTGATTCCAAAATGAAAAGTTAGTTTGATAATTTTGAAAGTCAAAAATTATGCAGTAAGTGCTTAATACTTGCACTGAGAAATGACAAACAATAACAAATAATAATAATAATGATTAATAATAATAATAATAATAATAATGATTAATAATAATAATAATAATGATTAATAATAATAATAACAATAATAATAATAATAACAGCGGTAATGAATAATTATTGATATACGACCAAATTCCACAATTTTTACACAAATGAGTATAATGACCGAAGAACTCACGTAACACTGTATTTTTTTAAACTCTTTTTTAAATTCAGTTAGAAAATACTCTGATAATTCGATTGTCACAATACCTTCTGAATGCTATTAACCAACTTCAAGTTGTACTTAAAAATTGTTTTCTTCCACGAAATAAATACAAATATTGGACTTATTAAAATGCTTCATATTTGGTCAATTTCTTATTAAAATTAAAATTTAATAATAAAAATTTTTTAAGTTAAAACATTAGCTCTTATGGTTTTTTATTGCATATTCTACCATGCTTTTATATTAACTGATAAGTTTTATTAAGCGCTTACGGTCATTTTCATTAAATCTTGTATAAAGTTCATATCAGAAAAAAGTGAAAAGCACTAAAAAGCTTTAACGTTGTTATAGTAATTGCTTATCGATAGAGGCCTGCAAATTGATACTTAATAACTGCGATGAAAAAATAATCTGCGATTTTGTAGTAATAAAATGGATTGATCAAGCAATGAAATTTATCTGAATTAGCTTTAACTATTAGCTATTATAAGCATTTTGCTTGAATAATTCTGTCTGCTCATAAATGTCATTGCACGTGTGATTGATAAATTGTGTAATCTTCAATCCTTTAGCCTAATAAATATCGAATTAGTGTAAAAATGAAGTAGATCTAAAAGAATGGATAAGTAAATTTTAGACTTCAAATAAAACTTTATAGCTGACAATAAATCTGATCTCGCTAAGATTTATGCAAATGTTAGTTATTTGAAAGGCAAAATTCTTGACAACAATAAATTTGATTGTTTAATATGTAAAATTTTGATTTTGACGGGTTTTATTTGATTGTGTATGTGTGTGTGCATGTGTGTGTGTGCATGTGTGTGTGTGCATGTGTGTGTGTATGAGTAGTTAACGTATATGAATATGAAAATAGAAATATAAACTTAGTATCTGATAATAGTCTATAAAAAGTATACTCATTAAAAAGATTGACAACGACAAATGCTTGCCTTTTATCTAACTTTTCAAGATAAAAGGTTTTTAAGCTAAGTTAAAGTAATGCCACTCATTACTTTTGTGCTTTTTGATTATAAGTTTTTGAGTATTTAATTTCAAAGAAATTTTTGTCTTGTTCGTTATCAGACAACAAATGCGTGATAAAAAAACGATCTTGCATAAATTCAATTTTAGTAGATAAGCTAATGAAGATGCAACAAGTCTGTATTTATTTTTTTAAATAGATAAAGCCTTATAAGTGAGCATGACTCAAATATGCAAAGTATAGTTATTATAGTAGTTATAGGAGATAAAAATAGCACAATATTATTAACTGCAAAATTATCAATTTGTCATATTCATTTGTACATTACTGATGTTGTTGCTAAGGTATGTATGTATGTAGTCAACAAGCTAGTGCATTAAGTACTGATTTATGCATGTTAAATCGAATGTAAAAAGCTTTAAGTTAGTTCAGAATTTATGCTTGAAAAAGTAAATACCAAGACATAATTGGATTTTTTTTAATGAAAAAATTGAATAATAGTAAATTTGAACAAAATAATAAGTGAACAAATTATTATTTGAGTGCCAAAATGCTGTATTCAACTTGCCTTAAAGCATTTGAAAAAAGCATACTATGGAAGAAAGCTGTCAAAAGGAAATAAGCATTGAAGAAAATAACAAAATAAACGTTTATTATTGCCTTTTATAGACTACTTCATTTATTTGAGAATATATAGATGAATTATTTCGATTCTATGCAAAAAAATTTGCATATTGCATAGCCTCAAGTGATGGAAACGATTTCTTCTCAAAGATTCAATTTCAAAGAAGTGAAATTAGAATGCTTATCAAAGTTTGAAAAGCTTTGCAAACTTTCATTTGTATTAAAAATTTATGCATTATGGCTAAATTTGCATTTACTGGAAAAGATAGCTATGGAGTTGTACTCTAATTATAATCATAATCATAATCATAATTCATTCTAATTTTACTGAAAGTCAATAATTATATACTTAAATTCTCAGTATATTCATATATAGTATATTTTATGTAACTAAAATTAATGAAGCAAGTATGTTTGTTTAATTTTATTAACTTATTAGAAGAAAAGCGATATGTCAGCAAAAATTATGGGGCTTAAGTGTGACTTTAAGTAAAATTTAAGACTGTAATAATTAGATTATATAAATATACTGAGAATTCAGGTATATAATCAACTAAGCTAAAGGTAATAAATCTGTAAATTATGAATTAGTTAAGGAAAAATGAAATATGCATTTATTGAAAATAGTAAACATACCGAGTAATCGTGTAGTCGTAGCGCCAGACATTTCTCTCATAAAGTATAATTTTTATTTAGTTTGACTTTTAAGTAAAAATGTACGCAAGATGAGAGGACTAGGTGTGCAGCATTTGCTAAGATGTAAATATCTTCAAGTACTGGCTTTAAGATTTTTAGTTTGAACAAAACTGCAAGCCAAGCCCGCCTCTAGAATTTGGACCTACGTATGTATGGCTTCAAACTACTTTGCTTACTCCCTTGACAAATTGTTAGCAAGTAGAAACAAGTGAGTTTCTAGTTTCCTTTTTACTTCACTTATTAAAAAGTAACAAATAGCATAAATTTTCTTATTTTCAATTCTTCACTATAATGACAAGAGCAACGATTCTGAAGAGCAATCTGTGCTTAAGATAGCCTTTCATTTAAATTGACATTTACGATTTTAGAGTTTCTTTCACGTTTCTTATCGAGATATATCTTAGAATGAACTATCAAATTAGTTCAGTCTACAGTATTTGCATTACAGATTCTTTTTTTACACCAAATAATTTTCGTTTGTTACTTTCCACGCTGTATTTTCTTACAGTTGTGAAGCATTTTTGAAGTTAAAATGATTAATTAGTTCTAAAAAATGCTAAATACTTTTTAAGACTAGCTAACTTAAATTAGAAAACGATTTTTTACCATTCATTTGAATGATTAGAAATCATACTCATAAAATTTCATGTGCTCTTAAACTAATTATGATTGCATGATCATGACAATTATTA